GAACATCCATTTACCAGATTTTCTGTTATATATACCTTCATTTGGGAGTTAATGCTTTCCATGTATTTCTTTTCCCCCTTTCAATTTAGTCATCAACTGTTTCTGACTTCTTTCTGCACCAAACAGTCTGGGTGACCTTGTGGCGGCAGTAACAGCTGTTTCCTCAACAGTAGTGGAGCAAAGCATGCCTACTGATCACCTCAGACTTTCTCATTAATGCTTTGCTTATTCACAGCCACTGTGCAATCATATGAATTAATAACATCTTTCCAGAAAAAGCTCTTGTCTCACTTAGAGGCCTTCTCCGCTCAGCTGGGCAACTTTATGTCCCAGGAATCTCACAAGCCTGTCTTTATTTTCTTATTTTACTTCAGCATATTGTCATCTGTGGATTGCTATGCACCTCTTAGCCTGTGATAGCAAACACCGTTTGTATTTCATACACTCACAACTTGAACACAAACACTATGATCACAGAAGGCTGGGCTTGACAGGCGTCACAGAACTTATATAAATCAGACACAACCCAAAGGTGTGATCACAGGACTTAGTTCACATCTGGGGATTAGCTATTGTTTCTCTCCTGGGGTTTTGGACCATTAAAATCACTCTGCTAGATTCCAGTAAGATTCTGACACTGTATATAGACACTGAACAGCCCTAAGTGTCAGTAACCTTTTTTTGTCAGGCAGCCAGGGGAAAGCTAGAGGCAGGAAGCAACCTCCCAGTCATTGAAACAGCTGCTTTTGGTCGATAAAGCCTAAGCACAGTGCAGCTGATTGTAAAGCATGGGAGCTGTTTTCTACGTGTGACTGTACAGTGCTGTATTATAGTTTACTGGTGGGACTGGAATTCTTCTTTATGTTTACAAAGTTAAAGTGTTCAGGAAGCTTTATAACAACTGTATTCAAACAACCATCAAAACACAACTTTTGAAAAGAGGAAGTGAAATCTCTACTGACTGGTAAACTCTCATCAGTTTGCAGAAACATAAAGCAAGTGCACACATCACCAGGTAAATGGGACAATGAATGTTCATGGAGACAGACAACCATTCACACATACGAGTTGCTAATTAACCTAAGATGCACGTCTTTGGACTGTGTAAGGAAGCAGGAGTACCCAGGAAGAAACCACGCAGGCATGCAAACTCCATACAGAGAGGCTCTGGTTCGCCACAAGCTTTGTTCCCGGAACATCCTTGCTGTGAAGCGACAGTGCTAACCACTGCACCGCAACACCTGCCAGATGGTCGTAAATTAATATTGTCTTCAACAGGGGACCAGCAAGCAGTCACATAACTAAAGCAGGAAACCATAAAGCAGGCCAAGGAGCTTTGAACGGGGAAAAGTGACTGAAAAATACTGAACTCTGTGTGTCTCTGGTGTGTCACTGTCATTTGTGTGTCTATATTGTGTATAATAATTTTAACAGTGACATAAAAGTGTAATAGTGTGTATGTGATTTTATGGGTACATTGTGTAGGTATAACAAGTGAATCCATCTTGTCAATCAAAGCTCCTCAGTGGTAACATCTTTATTGTTGGTTAAGCCACTGTTTCACTTGTGTAAAGAAACTTAACTTAAATCTAGTGATTGAGTGTCAAATCACTATGAACCCTTTATTTAGAAAGATGACTAACCACCTTTGAACTCTGCACTTGCCTCCTTTCTGGTCTTGACTCCTTCGCTCTTACATTTTTGAATGAACTGACATATTACATCATTTATACACTTAACACTTTATCTTCATAGATGTTAAGTGATGTGAAATTTCACAACATTTAAACACGCACGGCGTTACTTTATGTGTTTAATTGTCTATGCTTGTGAACGTATTCACAAGATCTGATGGCAATAAGGTCAAGGTCAAAGGTCAAAGTGTTTATTTGATATTCTTACTTTGCCGTCCACATGAATGTCACAAAAATACAAGTGAAATATAAAGTAGATAAATAAGTAACACAAAATCTAAAGCACTTTAAGCAGCAATAAGACACAGTCTGGTAAATTAAAACCGCCAATCAATCTACTGTGATTGACCCTAATTTTAATAGCATTTTTGTGGACTCAGCAATACAGTGGGAAAGTTGAGAATGTTATATAGCACAAATGCACTGGGAATACACATACTACTCTCTAATAAAGGGCATGATTGTAATTATTTACAGCATGGTAAATTAATAATATGAGGTAAGCACCTGGGAGAGTGATGGAGGCAGAGCCAATGGGCCGTGAGTGTAGCAGAAGCAGTGAAGGAAGGCAGGAGAGTGACCGGGCTCAGTCTCATCTTGACTATCACATTACCTCAGTCCTTATCGTATGCCGAGATGCTGGCATCTCGCCCATGGCTTTTCCTCCACTCACTTGCTCTTAAAGTGACACGTGTGCTCTTTATACCAGTGTGAAAACGAGTGTCCTCATGATGCTTGTTTTTGGAAAATGGTTTGACGTACAGTACAAGAGGAGAGACACGAGTTAGGCCTACAAATGTAACTTTATTGACTAAGGATTTTGACATTTCAGGTATCCATAGAGATGGTTTTTAGTTTGGCTCATAAAGTCAGTGATTATGTACAGTAACATTGTTAGGAATCCATTTGTTGGTGCTTGCATTCAAATCTATCTAACCATCCATCCATTTTCCTCCGCTTATCCGGGACCGGGTGGCGGGGGCACGTTCCCAGGCCAGCCGAGAGACATAGTCCCTCCAGCGTGTCCTGGGTCTTCCCCGGGGCCTCCTCCCGGTGGGACATGCCCGGAACACCTCCCTAGGAAGGCGCCCAGGAGGCATCCGAAACAGATGCCCGAGTCACCTCAGCTGGCTCCTCTCGATTCAAATCTATTACAACTTTATATTAAGAGTAATTTGTTACAAAGCAGCATGTTTTCATCCTGTAGGCACTTTCTTTATAAGGTTTTTGCTTATTTTTTGCTAAAATTGTTCAAGTTCTGGTTACTTCATCCCTCTGTGTTATGCTCCAGCAATTAGGGTGGGGGGTAAACAACAGACTACGTTGTTTTCCACCCTGTGTATTAGCATATTAATAAGAATTCATAGTGATAATAATATATGCTGATGTTGTACTGCTGGCACACAACTTCTTTAAAACAGTATTTCTTCAGAAAGTGCTGAAATGCAAACGTTTCATATTTTTGAAACAGCAAACTGAAGACTTCACACGTAGCTTAAATGTGTTCTGTAGGCTCTTAAAATCAGCAATGTGCATTAACCAGTTTGACTGGCTTTGCCATTTTGAGTAGAAGCCAGGAAACTGTGCTCTCGACTTTGTGTTGTGATGCTTTGTAGGCTTTGTTCTGCTGCGCTTGTCCTCTGACTCTTTTGAAGAGCAAACCAAGCTCACCAAGCTCTGGGAAATGCTGCAGAGAACAGTTTCACCAATAAAACTAGGACGCAGTATGATCTCACATTTGTTTCTCAACCAATAACTTGCAGCCTATTTCAGTGTGCATTTACCACAGACTCCCACAGGTATTCACTGCTCCAAATGTGTTTTTGTTTTAATTTATCACATACTATAAGACAGCAGTTCGTTAGAAGTCAAGTCCCCAAACTTAATAGACTTCAGTCTTTTATAAACATAAACGTGCTGCCTTCTGAGTAGCAATTATATCAAAACAGGAGCCGAATGAAACCAAACATTTTCAGAAATATTATTTTTCTGATCACAGTGTAGAATCTAAAGTACAAGAACACAGTCTGGGCAAGGAGAAGGGGAATTACAGAAAACACATGCTGGCTTGAGCCTGTTATTTTCCACTGTGACAGTAAACAAGCATTTCACCTGATGTTGTTTTGCTAAACAGTTCTCAGAGTACTACAGAGCAAAAGGAGGACAGCCAGAGGTGCTGGGTTGTAGTGTGACTAGCAGAGGATTCTACTGGTCACATTTATACTGTTTATTCTGAATCTGTTCTCAAATATTGGAGTTTGTTTTCCTATTTTTATGTGTTTGACCTTGACTGTGTGAGCATGCGTGTGCATGGTGGTGGTGAATGGGTAGGTGTGGTATAAACTCAGAGTCTATGGTAACACAGGCCTGTAGATGGCTAGAGAAGGAGTGTGGGACTGTTACAAACAGGGGTAACATGGCAAAGGTTCAATGGGAAGTGTGCAGGTCGGTATAAATGTGACTGCATGCTTTCTGTTTTCATTGGCAATGATTCAATTACCATCAGTTAAAGATAAGTAAAATACTCAATTTGATACTTTTTGTTCCTCAGTTTCTGTTTAAGTAGTTTAGCAGTTTGGGAAATGCACTTATTTGCTGTTGTTCAAGGAGTGGAATAAAAAGATTGATATCACTGTCTTTGCCGGTGTGTTAAGCGTGGAGCTAGAGCCAGCAGGCAATTAGCCTAGATTAACATAAGCACTGAAAGCAGGGACAAAATAGCTATCATGGTGCTTTCCTGAATTAAAAAGTACACCTATCAGCACTTCTAAACTTCATAAATTGACTCATCATGTTCTGTTTATTTTCTGTATATAAGTAGAAGTGTAAAATGGTTTATCTATCAACAAAACACTTGCAGAGCATCTCTGGGTATATGGAGGGTTTCTAGATTCAGCAGGTGAGCAGGTTTACTGTACACATCTCTAAAACCCCTGAGACCACACACTGTTATTTTTATGTATATGTTTCTTTATTGTAGGGTTTAAAGAAATAAGATCAGAGTTAATTTGTGGCCTTCAGACATGTTGGTACATATCATTTTTATTACAGAGAGAATCAGGCTAATCATTTGCCCAGACTCCCGTCTATATAACAAGCTTAGCTAACTCTCCTTGGCTTCAGCTCCATGCCAAATGCAGAAACATAAGAATCAATCTGCTTTCCTCACTCTCAAAGAGGATGTGAGTAAGCATGTTTTCCAAAAATCTCAAAGTATTCTTTTAACATATAGGTTAAAGATGGAACAGAAGAAAAAATGGTTCTACATGTGTTATTCATACTCTTCTCTGTTTTATGTCTTGGCAGACTTGGGGGCCTTCAGTTGTCAGCAAGATATCAAACCGCAGAAGAAGCAGAAGACATTTTATCAGGAAGATCAAGCGTAACAGGCCAAATATTGAACTGAGATGGATGGTTCCAGAAGTCAAACAAGGGCAACACACCACAAGAACCATGGGGGAGAGTGAGGGGGGTTTGCTATTTGCACACATCAAGTCCAACCACTTTTTCTGCTGACATTCCCTTAACGCTCCCCAGCCCTCCTCCAGAGCTCTTCCTCAGGGGGAGCCCATGCTATGAACCCCAGGTCTCTTAACTAGAGCCAGCAGTTCAACCTCAGTGCCAGGTACTGTGTGGGCATCCCACAAGTCTGGGCTCTGTCCACCCAGGACTCACAGGCTTCCCCTGAACAAAAAGCATGAAATACTCTCTAGTCTAGTGTTAAACTGCTCTGTTCTTAAGTCTTGCCTGCTCCTTTAGTAAAAACCCTCCTCAACTCTTCCAAAAGCTCCTTTTCAGTCACCGCTTCATTATAATTGGTTTTCCCATCAAACAGCAGCACGAGTTCCTTTGTGCTCACCACGTGGTGGAGGACCATGGGTTGCCGTCAGAGCTCGGAGGAGAAAGAAGCGGCGCGGCGCTCACGGCGAATCGACCGCCACTTGCGCTCAGAGAGTCAGCGGCAGCGGCGTGAGATCAAGCTACTGCTGCTGGGCACTAGCAACTCTGGCAAGAGCACCATTGTTAAACAGATGAAAATCATCCACAGTGGCGGCTTCAACCTGGAGGCATGCAAAGAGTACAAGCCCCTCATTCTGTACAATGCCATCGACTCCCTCACCCGCATCATCCGTGCACTCACCACCCTCAAGATTGACTTTCACAATCCTGATCGCGCCTATGATGCTGTGCAGCTCTTTGCCCTCACAGGTCCAGCTGAGAGCAAAGGCGAGATCACTCCAGAGCTGCTGGGGGTCATGAAGCGACTCTGGTCCGACTCAGGAGTCCAGGAGTGCTTTCAACGATCCAATGAGTACCATTTAGAGGACAACACTGCCTATTACCTGAATGACCTGGACCGTATCTCTGCACCTGAGTACATCCCTACTGTAGAAGACATCCTAAGATCCCGTGACATGACCACTGGCATTGTAGAGAACAAGTTCACCTTCAAGGAGCTGACCTTCAAGATGGTAGATGTGGGCGGACAGCGTTCGGAGAGAAAGAAGTGGATCCACTGCTTTGAGGGCGTGACTGCAATCATTTTCTGTGTCGAGCTAAGCGGCTATGACCTCAAACTCTATGAGGACAACCAGACGGTAAGAAAAATCAGTTTTAAAGGCCCCACATTTTCACACACAGTATTCATCAAACCACAACCAAAAAAGCTGTAGGTGTCAAATGGTTTAACAGTTCTGAGACACAGAGAGAACACAAACCTCTTCTGCTGTCACTTCCTCTGTGTACATCCCCATGTGTGGTTACACACATGAGAATTTATGTTCTGTTTCTTCTTTACAGCAACTTTTTTTTTCTAAGATAGCACCCTTTTCAGTTCAGTTTATTAGGGGAACTTTCAAAATCATTTTTTGTAAACTGTGTTGTTTGATAATTACAAAGGCAATAATTCATTTAAAAAAGTCTTTGAACATTGAATTATAACAATGACTGCAGTAATTGTATTGTAAAACAATTATAACCTGAGCAGCTAACAACCATATTTTTATTAACACTTTTGAAATACCTTTTCCCCATTATAACAGGCATTTTAACATTTTAAAACATATTTACAAAAGGTATTTGTCCCAACTGCCCCACAGCACATCCAGGACCACTCTATGCTTTCTTATAATCATTTATTCTCATCCCACATAGCGTGGTTTTGAACGGTTATTCCTCTACAGTTCATTCAGTTTTGTTTAATAAATAATTTGGGAACCCTTATCTAAATTTTATGGTCCTTAAAAAGTTCTTTGACTTGGGGCATGAGTGGATTGGGATGGAAGAAATGCACTCGCTCTGCCTTAAAGTAATAACAAACAAAGCCATTTTAACTGAATGAAGAGAGTGGCCAGTGTTTGTTATCTCCTCTTCATGGTAGTGGAATCTGAACAATTTCCTATCCATAGCATATCCATCTTTTTATCCCAGTGTTTTGAAACGGTTGGGTAGTTATAGCCTTTTTGATAAATGAAAGTCAACAACAGATGATATTTTACCTTTTTTGACTAGGACAACTATGAGGGGTCAGCTGTTTTCTCTGTCTTCACAAGCATAACAACATTTTTTTGAGGTTCACCTCAGAACTATCCATGGAGTATTCATGATTCACCTTGTCTTTATATAGTCCTGACTAGAAATACTGTACCTTGTTTAGGAAACTTTGTCATCCCTGTAGCCAAACATGCTTGGTACTTCATGGGTTACCCGGATAACACAGGGTGTGCACCGCGCCAGGCTGGAACATGAAATCAATTAGTTCTATAGGTTAAAAATAACGTCTGTGGAGAAAAATCCAGTATGGTGTTAATTGAGTTCACAGAATAAAGTGAGAGGCTGTACCTATGAGAATTAGCTGATTGTGAAGGCACTGTGCAGCAAAGGGAGTTCACAGGTGCCAGAAAAAACGACTTTTATTATTCCAAGATAGGAGAGGCAGAAGAAAGCAGGGGATCAAATGCAGCACAAAGAAGACATCCTGAAATTGGAGCAGCTATCCAAAGAAACACAAGTTACACATTTTAGTCTTTGGTGCATTTCTGCTAATACTGACATTTTTATGGTTGAATCATTGACTGTCTTTATTGTTTTAAGTGGTTGAAACATGAGGCTATGCAAAACATCTCTTTGAACACATCAGTAAGCTCCCTTCATTTGGTCGATGTGAAAGTTTTGTGTTAGAAGTAGTGCCATTAATGTAGTGCTGGGGTACTGCTATCCTGCTACTGTTTTATGTGAGGGTGAAAAAAACAAAAATCCATGCATTTTATAAACTACTTAATCTTTTCAGGGTGAGAGGTTAGGGCTTATCCCAGCGTGTAATTATCTGGGGTGGAGTACATCCTGACCAATTTGTCATTGCCTGATCATCTTGCCAAGACGCGACAGCACAAACCACTGAGCCACATCAGCTAATATACTTGTCAAACTTATTGATGAGAGCATGTAGCTGATGAATAGCATGAATGACTTTAGTGATGGTTTGGTCTGAAAGACAGCCACGAGCAAATCTGTGGCTCAGGGGCAAACCTGCACACCTGCAAATATATAGTACATTATTGACCAATGTGGATTGATAAAAGAGAAGTCACACTAGCATACATATGGTGTCCATACAAGACACTGGGCCACACCCTCATATTCTACAGGATCATCAGGCAATCAGCATAATGCAGCAGCAAGTCTAAATGTCACATTCACTGTTCCCCGACTGGACTGAGTTTAGGTACACCATGCCACTATTGTTCCCTCAAAACCCTACAGAAGGCTCTGCAGTGTATTCCTTCATCTTGGACTTGCCTGCTTCCATAACCACCGTCAGCTGACACAACACTGCTGAACATCTGTTACCTGACACATGTGTGATATGAGAAAATGTTCACATCTGTGTACTAGTTACAGCAATGACATGACATACCAGCTAATTCAACATCAGTGAAACCTGAACTGGTGTCCTGGCTTATGATTAAGGCTGGGTCCTCTTTGGAGTTAAGGCCAGTACAATGTGAGGATAAAAGATGGGATCATTAAGCAGACACCGATTCAGGTGCAGAGAAAGAATTATATAGACAGCTACAGTAACATAGGAAATAAAAGACTACACAAGCAGAAATTGCTGTCTTAAAATAAACCAACCAATATACTAAAATGAATCAGGAGGAATTTTGATAAGTTACAGTGACCTGCATTATGACAGTGTCAAAAGGATAAAATAGAGCAAAACCATGTCAGACTGCTTGCTCCAAGTACAACATATTTACTGATTGATTACTAATAACCGGCTCTTTCACATGTTATCAATGTGTTGTAACTTCAAACAGGGGAAAGTTGTTTTAATTAGTTTTAACAGCCTTAGGAAGGCAGGCAATTTCGCTCAAGCTACAAAAATATTTGTTCTGACTCAATACAAACACTGACGCCTGGTTAAGAGGCCTTTCCAGTGACAGTAAAGCATATCTACTGTATGACCTTCTCTACTAATCACAACTGAGTCAATAAGCACAGTGTATTGATGTGAAATATTACTTTGCAGTGAAGCAAGCCTTTAGTACAGCACTGATTTAACCTTCTGGGCCAGAGGTGACTTGTCAGTTTCACTTCAAGTACAACTCTGACTCATCTAACGCTTAGTCTAAGCTGCAACTAACCGCTCTGAACCATAGTAGCACAATGCTTTGTTGATGAGCATGTTTGAATAGAGGCCTGAGGAACTGTCTTATCTAATGGAAAACAAGACAACAGGGCTGATTATAGAAATTCAAATTCAGTCGGTCGTTGTGACAAGTGTCATTGGGAATTTTGAGACCGAGAGCAGTTTGTGTGTGCATGTGTATAAAATGGCTCCAAAACAAAAACACGGTCTCTAGACACATACGAAACCCTTTCCTTGCTTTCAAGGTCCTCATTAGAGGAAGAAATGTCTTTTTTACACTGACAGCATGTTGTCTCCAGTGATTATCGAAGTCATCTTAACCTTCAAAGCTTTCGACAATGTCACACAAGCAGAAAACAAACTTCACTGACACCGGTTCAGTTTCAACACACCAGCTCACACAAGACAAAATATACACCGTAATAATTACAGTACAACATTTAGCCATCAACCCATTCCCCGATGCATTTTCCTTGTCCCATCCCTGTCTTCATAATGAATCGGTTTCCGTGGTTACTGTTGCTTAGCAACAGGCCAGTCAAATGCTCCCTAATCCTGTGCTGTTGACAGTGAGCTGTGACTAGGGAAGGAAGGGAGGATGAGAAGGGGGGTTGTACAACAAACAGAAGAGCTGGGGAGAACAGATATGAGGTGTATGTATGCATGTATCTATTGTGTGGCTGGGTGTGCGTTTGTGGGTGCTAAATGTGGTGATGAATGTGTAGTACAGGTTTATATGCAATAGCTGAGGCTGAGCAACTGCAGTGAATTTTGTGTATGTGAGGTGAAAGTGAAAAGCGGAGATATGAGGTTGTTTGAGCTTGTGTTAGCCAAACATCAAGGCAGACACTGAATGCACTGACAGCCCTAATTCTAGTGTTTCAGTTATTATTTTATTAATCTTTGAAACATGTATTTATTACCTGTCACATAAAAGACGACTTGAGATTAATTACTGGCCTTTCATATGTTTTGTGCCCAAAGTTAGTTAAATGTGGCTTTCTTTTCATACCTAAGATAACGTGCACTGATCTAATGTAAAATGACAGTATCAGTGACGATTCAGTCTCTCACTGACGTCCGACCGGGTGCCTGAGAATATTCAGGAATATTCTCCCTCACTCAGCCACAGCATCTTAACCGGATAATGGGCTATCAAAGGAATTATGATCATGTAATTGAAGTGCCTCATATGACATAATGGTGTTTTGCTTTCCAGGAAGGAGAATAAGCCCATTCAAAGACATAGCAAGTGAAAAACTGTAAAGCTTTTATGATAATATTTTCCTTATCAGACTATACTGTGCATGCTCACAGATATTTCACTGCATCCCTATATACTCTATTCCATTTATAAATGATTGTAGCCATGTAGGATATTATTATTGTTGCTTATTACTATTATGATTCAGGCTCAGTTTATCATAAATGTTACTGAAATACTCAACAAGTATCTCCTGTTTGAAGGTTTAGTGTGGCACAGTTCAGATAATACAGTTACCCCTCCCACGAGTCACTACAGTCTCGTTTTGTCCATCACATCATTTTACCTTGAGCTGGACATTATCCTCAACATAAACACACAAATATACAAAACTGTTATTTAAATGTGGTTAGTTTATGGTCGGAAATGTGTCTTCAGTGAGAATGTAGCACAAGAATATTAAAACAGCTGTAATGTTTATTTATTTGCTTCACGACTAAACCCAGCAGTGCTGCCGCCCACAGTAACAGAGACGTTAGTAATTAAACAGAGAGGACAAACAAAGGGGGCAGCCTGAATAATGTAATTCTCAGGTACAGCAGAAAAAAAACATGGCGAGGAAAAAAGTCAGTTTGGTAGGTAAGTGCAATGTGCCCCTTTTTGTAAGGCGATGACATTTAAAATCAACCTTAATGAATTACGAAGCGGTAGCTGTGAACTTAAGTGATTTGTATTTAGGGGAAACAAAGCAATGATTAATACTTTAACCTTTCTTAAAGCCTGCACCTCTAGAGTACTTTAACAGGAGGAGGTGAGGGGGTAAGCAGTGTGTATAGTAGGTGTTTGAAGCACAGGCAGGGGGTCTGCATGATTTACTGCTCCTGGGGGCCACTGTGTCCCTCCTCCTGCACCCCATTAAGAAACTTGTACTGTACGAGTGCTGTAGTGTCCAGGTGAAGTGAATGGAGAGTCCCTGAGCTCAGCTGGCTGTGTGCTGCCTTTTTCTCTTAGCAGCTCTTAGCACTTTGAAAAGAGGTCAACCAGCCTGACATGATGTTTAGGGATCAGCCTTAACCCCTGTTGGACACCTACCTAAGCAAACTGAAAAGAGGCAGTTTTTTATGGAAATAATTAATCCAGTATGGTAATGTACACCTGTAAAACCAGATTAGTCAGAGTAAAACTGATTATTGGGCTGTATCTAAGGGTTAGATGCAACTTTAGTTTCTCATAACTTTTCATTATTATCCACAAATAGTCCACTTACACCACTGAATAATCAGGGTTTGCTTTGTATCTGCGCTGCGATTCATTCTGTGCAGACCTTGTGATTTGCTCAGAGCATCTTTTTGTTTCTGTAACCCTTCAAACAGCAGTCTTCTATCTAAAGGCCTCCCAGTCACAAGCTACTAGCCAGCTGCCACATGCCAGCAGCTGCCACGAACAGATCAACTTTATTTTTCTTTCCTTTTGCTTGTACTTTCAACATCACATGAGCACAAACTGTAAGGAAGCACACAGATGCATACGTGCACGCATGCACACACAGACTTCTTTGTCTGCATATGTTACCATTCTGCAATTTGGATGTGGAAATTCATCTCATTTTCAAATATTATTTGAAAATGTATGTTTTAAATTAGTCAAAGTCCATCCATTTTCTATACCGCTTAGTCCCAAATGGGTCATGGGGGGCTGGAGCCAATCCCAGCCAGCTGCGGGCGAGAGGCGGGGTACACCCTGGACAGGTCGCCAGTCCATCGCAGGTGATGGAAATCAACACCTTTAATTAAAGAGCTGTGAAATAAACTTTAAACATTTTTATTTCATTTTAGAAAAAAACAAATTAGCACCCACTGTGGTAAACATTTGTAAGAGTTAGTTAAAGCTTGAAGAAGATTAGAATATTATACCAGTTGTGGAGCACTGAGGGAAAAACATAAATAATATAATACATTTTAAGCAGTTAAATTGATAATGAAACTGAGTGAGACAGACGCCAAGTGGAATATATCAGTGCTGTTCACATTATCCTTCTGTAAGTCCCAGTGGTTGAGTGAGTCTGTTACGACAAGGTTATACAAGTCTGTCCTCAGTGTAAACAGCCCGTCTGTCAGTGGTCTCCTCATGAGCCACTGAAATTTTCATATAAAAACAATTACTGCAGATTTACAGCTATTCTTCACAACAGGGTGAGATGGTTCTGTAAATAATAAGCTTACCACACACCTTCTGGCTGATCATTTCACTGTTCAGGACTTGGTAAAAGAAGCAATCAGCCATTTCAGCAGAGAATGAGGTTCAAAAGCAGGTCGTCATCCGTCTGAGTCCAAGTCTCTATTGACATAACAGAGAAGCTGTACTTTTGACCAATCGAGTGGATGTCTGGGATGTGTGCTGGATGACTTTAGACCTCCTCTTATCTCAGCTTCATTTTCATCCTCAAACCTTGTGGCGACCTTGCATAGTCTAATTTTCTCTCTTGGGTTTTGCCAAATCGCATGATCCTGCTTGTGTGAATGAGGTGTGATAGGGTGATAAACCGGGCTCGTTGCTTTGAAGAAAATATTACATTTTTCTCAGTCGTGAAATGATTTCCTTCCCTTTTGTTTCTTTTCTTTTACAGAGCCGTATGGCTGAGAGCTTGCGCCTGTTTGACTCCATTTGCAACAACAACTGGTTCACCAACACGTCGCTCATCCTCTTTCTCAACAAGAAGGACCTGCTAGCTGAGAAGATCAAACGCATTCCTCTGACAGTTTGCTTCCCTGAGTACAAAGGTCAGAACACCTATGAGGAGGCAGCCGTCTATGTGCAGCGGCAGTTTGAGGACCTCAACCGCAACAAGGAGACCAAGGAGATCTATTCACACTTCACCTGTGCCACTGACACCAGCAACATCCAGTTTGTCTTTGACGCTGTCACGGACGTGATCATCCAGAACAATCTCAAGTATATTGGGCTGTGCTAGGACCTGACGCTGGGTGGGTGTGTGTGGAAGGTGGGTGGGGGTGGGGTGGGGTTTAAGCAGGCTGCTTGGCAGCTGTTGGCTCGCCATCAGACTGGATAAGCAAAAGGCATATCAGTCTGCCTTATGGTTAATCATGTTGAAGAGGTGCAACAGAGAACTGCAAAGGAAATGAAGCAGTAATGTGGTCAGGGACGGACAATACTGTAGATTCAACAAAGCTGATGGGATTTTCACCAGTGTGTTTGCACTGAATATGAGTATGCAGAGACACACACGCGCACAACCTTATGTTTGCTCACACGCCAGATCTTTGGATCAACAGTCAGTCACTTCTTTGACAAGGCAACACTGGAAATGTCAGACTGCTGCCCCTGCCTGGCTGCCAAACGTGAGACTGAGTCGTAGGTCTGTACCGGTGGTTTTCAGTTACTTTTGTTTCTTTTATTTTATTTGCCTGAGTCAATTAATGCTGCTTTACAAGAAGAATTTTGACAGAATCAATCTTTTCTTTTGGGATTTCATTACGGTAAACAGTGAGTGCACCTGGTGAGACAGAAAGATTCTGTATTTCTGGAAAATCAAATGTCACTAGATATGATGTCACAGGGTTTCTGTCTAAAAGAGGAAACTGCCACTTTCTAAAGCTGAAGTGAAATACATTTTCTACTCACTATTTCTCCTTTTGCCCTGGTCGACTCTTTAGTGTTATTCTTAACCCATCTTTATTTGATCTTTTTTGAGCTTTAATTAAAAATTTGTCTCTCAAACCTGCCTTTTATAGCAGGTCCCTGACTTGTAATGCCAGGAGAGTGTTAACGCTCCTTAGAATCAAAAGTATTCTTTATGATCATTCCGGTTTTCAGCGAGAGACGACAAAAACTGTGCCAAGATCAGTTTGTAAATAAAACCAGATCCCATCCATTGTGTTAACTTTTTGTTTTGTTTTTAAAGACAAAAACATTAAAAATGCATGATTTTATTACTTTGGGATACTGATATTTTTTTTTGGGGGGGGGGGATTATGTTCCTTTTTTTTTAACACTTAAATAATATATTCCCAAATATATATAAAAGTCAAACACTGTGTATGATTGTACAGTTGTCAGAGAGGAATCTATTGAAGAGTTTTATCAATATAATAATGGTAATTATGATGTTATGATGATGATGATTACAGTGATGACAAAGAAAACCTCAATATGGATCAAAACAGAACAAGACTAGAAAAATAAGAAAGCAAAGAAGCAAACCTTGACAGTTCAAATTTCTTTGCATTATCTAAGTGGAAATTGTTAAACAGTCAGTCAGTATGATGTGTAAATATACTGTAAGGTACACTCTTTGTTGAAACAAATGAAAATAAATGTTGAGCTGGGATACTAGAAGTGAGATAAAGAGGGAGCGAGAGAGAGAGAAGGAGGGAGATCCCCCGCTCCGCTTGTCCTCGTCCCCTTTTTCAGTTCAGATGGCCATGTGCAAACAACTCAGCTAAGGGCTTCAGGCTTGACTTTATGGGATGTCCACTTCAACAAAAGACAAAACAATTTAAAAAGGAAATATAAAAAATACAGTAACTATGAATAAAAGAACTTATGCAAATTTTCATGGTGCAGTAAATTTGTTTTTGGGTGGTGGTTGTGTCAGGTGTTTTAAATGTGTATGGGATGGTAGACAGCTGCCGGCCGTCCATGTCACGAACCTTCTTCTTTTTTCAAAATTAGGCTGCGTCAAATAATTTGCAAGCTGGGACAGAGCTTCCAAATTCATGACATAAAAAGTGTTCCTCCTCACCATACAAAGGGGCAAAAACAATTTGCACATACAGTAAAGTATGAAGTTATACATGGCAGCATACAATGTAAACCAGCGCTGACCCTACAAATCTGCTAACAGCTCTGTGAGAGTCCCCGGACATGAACTGTGTTTTGCTGTTATTAGTATTTAGAGATACAGTAGATCTCACACAAAATGGATTTTATTGAATGCAACACTTAGAGTAACATAAATAAAGGGCCATTCAGAAGTTTAGATAAGAACTGATATAAAGTCTCCTATTAAACATCTATATCATGGTGAGGTTTCTAACCAGCAGGGCAGCGTGTTACCTCTCTGTGGAGCCCATGAATATTTTTCATGTTTATTTCAGTCTGTTCGAATGGGGACCATACAAAAAACATTAAAGTACTGCGTGGCTGATAATTTTCTGAATCATCTTATATCATTTTAGCCTAATTTACCTTCAGGTCATGGGCGTTTTCTTTTGTGAAGCGATTTAAGCAACACTGGGAATTTGTTTGAGAGATGAACACGCTAAGTAAAATCCAGCCTTGTGACTGTCATGCGGTAGGAGCTGATGTCAACAATAAGAAATGACTGAGTAACAGCTGCTAAAAATCACAGACGGTATATAAATGATCTCTATTCATTCAAATGAATGAGGAACTAATATTAAGTTCAATCCTTAGGGCTGTTTTGTCATAAGCAGCGTAACAGAATTCACTACCTGGGAAACATTCCCAGAGATGTAACTTAATGTCAGCCTAAAAGAAATAGTTAAGAATTAACATGTTCACATTACAAGCCTTAATGCCCAATTCCAGTATTCTGTCAGATCTGAACTTCTAAACATTAATGTTTGTAAGTGACATGTATCCAGCTCTGGTGTGAACACAACTGAGGTCCTAAACTGCCATGTTCATGCAGATGTACAGTAACTGATGTGTGAGCCGTGCACAAAGCAGCAACAACATAATATGTGTGATGGTCAAGTTATGGGCAGAAAGCTGCTCCCAAATATTCTCATCTCTCCCCTGACTCTGGTTACAGTCCATGGGGTGTTGACACTGATGATGATGTGCACACACAAAGGCCTTAGATGTTAAAAAACAAAACAACATAATTTCCAGTCTTACTGTGCTCACATAGTCAGAGATTGGATATGAATCAGATCTAGGACCACATATGCAAGTCACCCAGAAAAATCCAGTTTGGTTTTCACTACCATAAAAAACATCTGATCTGAGTCATCTTGAGGGGAAAGATGGATTTGGGCCACTTCCACCTATAATATGAACAGAGCAGAAGAGAGTTTATCTTCGCTATTACAGTCCAAACAAATAATCTAGCTCATTTGGCTAATGCTACATCTCCCATACAGTTAAACTCCCAATTGTAGCTTGGCAAAATAGAAATTCAAGAGGAATGGGTGTGGAGAACAAATTAAAACAACAACCATCTGTCACGTCAAGTCAAATACCTCAAATGTATTATAAAAACATATGGAAAACAGTATTACGCAGAAAGGAGCCTTACAATGAAAAGCAGCAGAATTCCAGGTCCAGCACATTGTACATGTTAGTGTTTAAATGTGTACGACCGGGATCACAGGAAACTGGGGAAGGCATGGACATGCAGTTTGTATTTGACATAGATGCACAGAACACACCAGATAATCCATACTGTACACACACAGAGAAGGAAATCTGATGAGACACAGTTCTGTTTTTACTTTCAGCCCTTGGAAACTTCAGAAGAGTTTTGACCATAGAAGTAAGATTTAAGCTGAACTCAGATTTGTCATTAGTACTGAGTGAGCCAATATCTAATAAGGAGAAGAGACTGAAGGCAATTCTAAAAATATAAGTAGTTCAGAGACAACCATAGTCACAAATAGAAATTCTTGGCGTATGATGACACTTCTGAAACAATAAATATCTATAATTCCTGGCATGTTCCAGGGCACTGTTTATTTTCCAGGCCTCCTGAATCATTGAGACATTTTTCTAAAAGAAAAAAATGGAGAAAAAAAGAGAAGAAAGCACCTCCTCATTAGTCTCTCTGGACCCTTTCCATGTTCCACAGCACCTTCTCCCCTCTCCTCTAAGTTTGTCTGTGTGCTCCCACCTACATTCTTGTGAATCAAAGCCTTCAGTCAGCTAAGAGAAAATCCCACAAGTCTGGCTTTCTTGGAAAATTTAGTGTCTCATCTCCTACGTTTGTTGCTTCTATCTTCTGAAAAATCTGCTACTGACCACTTTAAATCTAGTCCTCTGCTGCTGACCCTCCTCTCCTCCTCCTTCTGTTCACTTCATAGAACGAGGGATGACGCCTGAGGTTCATCCTACATGCTACTCTGGTCATCGTCTCCACCGCTGACCCCTCTAACATGAGCTTAATGTCTCCCTCGAGCTGTTGTAAATGAAGTCCTAAAAAAATTCCCATGAGCAGACTTAACTTCTGCCCTCTTGAACTCATTCCGCTCTCCCTTCCTGGTCCATTGCTACTGATCTGCTCAGCTTCCTGACTGATATCAGCAACCCCTCCCTGACATCTGACTGGTAAGCCATTACAGTGACTGGTCTCCTCACAAAACCTTCTCTTGACCCAACCTGACATGGAGCATGTTTGATCCAGACACTGGACTTTAATGCAGCCACATGATTAAGAAATGAAATACTGCAGAATGTTTAATTATCGTAATCTAAATCACTGTGCTTTTCATTGTCAGATAACGACACATGCCAACATTCCTCTGCCGGAGCAAAGAGTACAAAATGTGCAGCAGGCTGAATCATAAAAACAAGTCTGAGCTACGGCTTGGTCACAGTAGCATTTATACATTTTAGGTTAAAATCCATTCACTTCAGTGGAATCCCCACAACCAGTGTTCTTTAAAAATGTTTGAAAATGTATGCTTGTGCTGGTGTGTTGAGTAATTTTAGAAAATGAAACCAGTAGGAAGCAGGCACACAGATTTGCATATTTTGTATTCAGACTCAAATCTTGAGTTGAAGCCAATGACCCATATCCATCGCTGAATAGCGTCACAAAATATCATGGTTGCATTTTTTTGCTACCAGTTCACTTTCGAGAGTAAACCAGACCGACACATGGTACACGTTGAGCCCCATCAGTACAGAAAAATCAGACAACAGCTGCATAAATCAACATCCCCAACCACTGTGAAAGGATGAATTTTTCATCTTAACCTAAATGAATGTTCCCATTTCAGGCAGCTTAGAACATAGACTCTGTGGCTCCATTGTTAGTTACAAAGCAGTCTTAAGGGACAGCAAGTCAAGAGGTCCTATCCAAAATGCCCCTGTCCCTGATGTAAGCATTTAAGCCTCATGTTAACCTATGGGTCACATTTCCTGGGATACAGACACGAGCAACAATCAGACATGTGAGGATTCACTAATATATTAGACATTATAAATAGACCCAAATAAAATGATTTAGACAATGAGTTATAATCACCCAACACATTGGTAGCACAAGTAGGCCTCCCAGCCTGCAATGCCAGTCTCATGCATTAGGGACTAGACTAGGCAGGAATATGAACTGTTAAACTGACCGACAAAGGGAATATGAGTCTCTTATTTCATACTAAAATAATTCCTATTCATTTGTTCCCCTTGTGACTGGATGTCTGAATGTCTCTTGTTCAAAGGTGTCACTTGAAAATGAGATCTTCATTTCAATGAGTCTTCCTTATAGTGTGCTTATAGTTTCAGTGACCAGCTTGGTGAGGCAATGGGTTCAGGACAGTGACCTGTAGTTTGCAGCTAGTTCAAGGTGTAAGATTTGTGAGATTTGTTGTTATTTTCTGTTTTCTTCCCTGTAATGATTGCTATAGAAACAAAAAGTGCCCATTGTCCACAGGATATAACATGTTTCTTTCTCATTATGCCTCATTATGCCTCTGCTCTTAGACCGGTCTAGTGTTTTGTTCAGCAAAGGCTGTAAAAAGCCCCCGTCTTGGCACAGTGATGTTATGAACAGCTTGCACTATATTGAATTGTAATACTTATCCAGGTTTTAGAACTGTGAAGGAACAATGTGTCATCTGTTCACATTTCCCAAATGCTAACTTTCCCTAATTGGGATAATTTGTGTCTAGTCTGCAGAAATGACTGTGTCTCGTTTTAGGTGTTTGAATGTTGGCAGAATGGCTTGTAGGTATTATTAGGGTGAGCAGAAATATACTGACGTTAGGCACTCCACCTATATCATTTGCTGTACTGCCTAGTATACACAAACACATACTGTGTTTCTCTTACTGGCAGACTGTGAGGCTCTGTGCTATGATCTGCTGAACTGCTGTGTCACTGTTCCCCGAGCACTGACTGCCCTGATTTGCTATTGTCCTCTACAAAACCATCTTTATATCAATGTGCATGTGCATAAAATCGTTTCTTTGGCCTTGTGATACCAAGACCTCTTCCAGAGGTGGAAAGTAACCAAGGACGTTTACTCAAGTATTGTTCTTAAGTACAATTTAGAGGTACAGTACTTGTACTTTAGTTGAGTATTTTCATTTTCTGCTATTCCATACTTTGACTTTACTACATTTCAGAGAAAAATGTTGTACTTTTTACTTACTACATTTATTTGATAACTTTAGTTACACGTTACATTTTTGAATGAAATAAAATAAGAAAACAGAACACATTATAATCATAAGACTTTATGATTATATTACCCAGCAGTATGTAAAGTACTTCAAACTATAAACATATAAGGTGGTACATTAGCTCCGCCATTACCAGCAGCAGCAGTAAATATGATGCACACAATAATGCATCAATAAAATCCAATAATATGGTATATAATAGTGTAAACTGTTACCGAGCACTTTTATTTTTGGCACTTGAAGTACATTTTTATGCTAATACTTTTGAACTTAACTGACATTTTGAATGCAGGACTTTTACTTGTAACCAAGTTGTTGTTTTTTTACACTGAGTTATTGCTACTTTTACTTAAGTAAACAAGCTCTTGCACCACTGGACTCCTCTCCAATTGGCTTCCATTTTAAAGGATAAGCCTGTTGAATGGCTGTTGCATGTTCATCACTTAAGGAAAAAGAGAGTTTCTCCACTGCAGCATTTACAACATGTCAGTGACTGGTTTAACAGGAGCGAGGCACTCTATAATTCTCTGGTTACAACAGTGCTGATGATTTCTGGACTGCCTTCTAATGTATATGTCACACTAACACTACAAACACAAGATGAGAACATTCTTCATGCTCTCCCCTGAACAGGGTGTCCAGAACAAAACTCCCCATAACTCCAAATCACTTCTTTCTGATAAATAACTAAGCCTTGTATATTAAATTCTAATTTTCATCAAGAACAAAGCTGCAGCCA